GTTTGCTGAGCCATGTGATAGCAGAGAGGAAGCAGAAGAAAGCCCACTGTGTAGGTGCAGGAAGTGAAAGAGACTTGGGGCTTGGTTACTGCCTTTAGAGCATGGTATCCTCCCTCACCCAGTAGTAAATGTGGAGCAACGTGTGTCTCCTTGGCCATTCCATCAGGGTAGCTATTCCTCCTTGTTTGGGGGATACATATTAAGTGGGGCCATATGAAAGAAGGACTAGATATGTCCTCTCTTTCATTGTTGTTAAAGGTATTCTCCAACAATAGGAAGTGGCTTCAGTCTGGTAGCAAAAAGAATACCCGTTCATTGCACTGTCCTATCTCTTTGTGTTGTCCCCACTCCATACACCATTAGGACTAAGCCATAAATCATCGTGTCTCTCTTTGAAGTGTAACCCCTTAGAAAAGAGGTATCTGTAAGGTGGGAGTAAGGAGTTCTGACCAGCAGGAAAGATTAAGTAGAATTCTCACTGGGGAAGAGGTTGGAAAAAGAGGAGGAAGGTAGCTGGTAGGGAATGTGGTTAGCATGGGGTCTTCAGGGACCCCGGATACCTTGTTCCCCTCCTGGGCCTGAGTTTGAAGAAATGAGGCAGTGAAAAGGACAATTCTGACTCTGAGAAGTCACTGTCATGCAAGTGACCTTGATTCAGCAGGGGGTAAATACAGCAGAATGGCAATGGCAATGGCCTTCGTTTATGGGATGAGGGAGCCAAAGTTCCTATTCCCGTCTCTTTTAGCTCCTGGCTGGCATAGAAGAGATATACACATAAATATTTTTAGTTTGTTTTAAAATTCTGCTTGAATAAATTTGCCTATATACTTTTATAAATTTAGCCTTACATAGAAGTTGCTAAGATAGTTCAGAGTGAGAAAGCACACACAGCAGATTCTAGGACTATCTAAGCCCATGCACTTTATCAGTAGCTGGAGGGAAAGCAGAGGCCAGCGTGGCTTTATGGTCCACAGCCTGCCTCCGTCAAACTTTTTCTCCACGTAAAGGTGACATTTAGGCAAGAAGGTGGAGAAAGAAATCCTGAAAGATTAGCATTTCCCCCAACAAACCAAGTTACCTTTAACTGGCAAGTCTAAGTGTCCTTTTTTTTTTGCCTCCCCTCCCACAAGCATAAGGACTTGAGAGTGAGGTAAGACCACTAGAGAATAATCTACACTTCTATAGCAGCACCCTTGCAGTGTATTGAGTTATACACTAATATATATATCGTTCTATTTCCAAGACTATATGTCCTAAATCAGCACCATCTCCCATATTCAAGACATATTTATTTGGGCACTCACTATACCAGGCACTAGCATTTACTCATGCCCCATGCCCGTTTGCCCTCGTCTGGGACAAGCTCTTGGACATGTCCCACTGGCACCCCAGCAATGGCTGAGAAACCCTTCCTTCTCACTCCTATTGACAAGCCTTAGGTTGAAAGCACTTGATCCTAAATTACAATTGGGTTGATTTTGCACTTCCATTTCTGAAAGTAGGAATAATAAACCTAGCCTTTGTTTTTTGCCTTGTACTTTTTTTTTTTTTTTTTTAAACAGAAGAACTGGGTTATCAGATTCAACGAGAAAGATGACAACACAGGATGGAAACAGATATCCAGACATTGGGATCTGGGCCCTGAGGACAGCAGAAGCTGGGTGAAGTCGCCAGTGCACCTCTCTTTAGGCTTCCTGGCGGGATGGAGCTTGAGGAATTGTGGCTGTGCTCAGAGTCGCCCAATTCCATCCTTCGCGGTACGGGGCAGGGGCCAACGCTGGCTGCGTTGTCACACAGGCTTACTCTTGAACCTAGGATTGCCATGTGGTCAAGCGTCAGGCTCGCTTTTACATCTTGATCGGAGCCTGTACTCGAAATGCCTGCGGACAAAGGCCAGGCCTTCCTCGCGACCAAACGGCAAAGACTTTTGTCGCTGGCCTGCACGGAGGAGCGTCCGGAGCCGGGAGCCTCGGGGAAGGCCTCTAGAGGGCGGGGCCCGGAGGAGTGAGCGCCCCCCCGGAGGCGCGTCCCCATTGGCTGGAGGCGGCGATGGGGCGGGGCCAGGGTCCTGCAAACAGCGACTGACCTTCTCAGCGCCCGAAGCCTTCCAGTCTCTGGGGTCCTGCGCCCTCTGGCTGGCTTCCCGGGTTGCAGTGAGCACCAGAATCCAGGCGGATTAAGACGGATATGGACACTAAGAGAGCAAGGAGCAAGGTGCTAGTTCTTTCTGTGAAAGAAAGGACTGCTCTTCGGGACTTGGGCTTGAGTTAGATAGGAACTTCTCGTGCGGTCTGCGCCGTGAAACCAATCTCCGTGCACAACTGAGAACCACAGCTCTCTGTGCACAACTCCAGCCCCAGCGTCACTTGGCTTCCCAAACGCAGTTTGCCCCCAAATCGTGCTCCCTTCCAAAGCTGTTCCTTGTTGATGAATGCCACCCTCCCCATAACCTAGGTTCTCAAGCCACGAATATGGGGTATTATTTCCGTTGTTTACCCCTCACATTCACGTTCAATTAATCACAAAAACCTGACTCTATTTCCAAAAATCTCTCCTGATTTTCCCTCTCCAGGCTTTCCTCTGCCTTATTTGATTCTTCATAATTTTTCTCTAGTAGGTTTCTGCTCACCTTGTTCACATCTGATCAATCCTCAGTAATGGGACAGAGTGAGCTTTCCACGATGTTAATATGTATAGTCTGCAGTAATCTTGCTTAAAACCATTTGAAGCACTACATTAAGTGAAAACATCTAAACGTGATCTGATGGACTGGTTATTTCTGAGGCTTTACCACTGCCCGCAGGCCTCAGCTCCATCTAGCTAATATTTGCATTGCCTGTACTGTTCTTTATTTGCAGAGCTCACTTAAGGTTATTTGTGTCTCATCTCCTTTGGAAATTTTTCTTTGTCCCCAGCAGGTTTAGGGTGTTTTGGGGGGCATGATTGATGTGACGTTTTGGGTGTGGGGTCCAGGAGCAGACCAGCAAGAGAGAATTCTTGAGATGTTTTCAGGGCAAAAATGTGGTTTTATTAAAGCACAGGTGTGGTGCCAAAGTGGGATGTGTCTCCATTGGGTGGGGGTCCCCCCATTGTGGGGTGGCCATCAGGTGGAGGCCAGTGGCTCTGTGGTAAAAGGATTCACTCGAGGCAGAATAAGGGAGATAGAAGTTTATTGAGTACGCTGCACAGGCCTGGTGGGCAGATCAGCAGAGGAGAAGCTGTCTTCAAGGAGGTAGTGGGTGGGAGGCATTTTTAAAGGGGGAAGATAAGAAGGTATGGCAACATATGGAATCTTCCCTTTTTTGGGAACTGTGCCTAGTTGTAAGTAGCCCATTGGTTAGTTGGGCTATGCGTATTCTGAGGTGGGTCACCTGAAAGGCCTGCCTGTATTCAGCTGGGTGGTTGCTCCCTGTGGCCCTTTCTACATTCCATTGCTCAAGTCTTTTGGCCTAAAAGTAGCTTCTACAACGGAGACAAGACCCATGGGCTGAAAGAGCTCTACCGGGATTTTGAGGAGTGACTGATTATATACTTTTCAGTGAGTGGGGATTAGGAATATCATAAGTCTCTAAGGAATTTGGAAGCAAGGCTTCCAGGACTTTGAGATGTTAGCTGTTGTTAAGTTTCAGGAGACCCTTTAGATGTGTCAGTGGGCAATATGTTGGAAAGATGATTGCTAACATATTTTGGGGGGTGGGGATATAGATAAAATAAGTTTATAAAGGGATTTTCATAAGTTAAAGAAGACTTATAGGATCCTGGTGGTTGGGCTAACATCAAGCTAAGACTGCATTTTGCCTCTAGCCAAGTATTTTAATTTTTTAAATTTAAATTGTAGTTAGTTGATACACAGTTTAATATTGGTTTCTGGAGCAGAGCTCAGTGGTTCCTCATTTACATATAATACCCAATGTTCTTCCTAACAAATGCCCTCCTTAGTACCCATCAGCCATCTAGCCCAGCCCTCACACACCTCCCACCATCTACCCTGTTTATTTTCTATCCTTAAGAGTCTCTCGTGATTTGTTTCCCTCTCTCTCTCCTCCTCCTGAATGTTCATTTTGTTTCTTTACATCTCCATTGATAGAATATATATATATATAAAGCACATCTTCTTTACCCATTCAACAATAGATGGGCATCTGGGCTCTTTCCATAGTGTGGCTATTATGGATAATACAATTATAAACATCAGGGTGCATGCACTTCTTCAAGCGTGTATTTTTATAACCTTTGGGTAAATACTCAGCAGTGCAATTGCCTCTAGCCAAGTGCTAACACTAAGGCAGTTAAGTTCCTTGAGCGGGGTCACTCTGCCTGCCTCCAGTATTTGTCAGTGGGTTGCAGGTTGTAAGATTTATTTTTTTCTACATTTCTTTTACTCTTGTTTTCCACATCACTATTAGTAGACCTGTAGAGATTTGTCATATGTTTAATCATGCTGCATTGTTATGAAAGGTTTTCCTTTAATAACTTTGAATAGCTCTGGAGGAACTTACTCATCTGTAAATTTGTGCTTACCACCCATAGATGCTTAATAAATGTTTAATGAATGAATTACAACATATGACCTTCCTCAATATCCAAAAGCAAAGATCATTGAGAAGCATTTGTTAAAAGCTTTTTTTTTTTTTAGGTCCCCAGAGATTCTACTTTGGGAGGTCACTGTGAGGGTTCAAGACTGTCTGTTTTTGACAGTTCTTGGATGATTTTCATGCATGAGATTCAGGGATCACATTCTAAGAAATCTTTACCCATTGGTAAAGGGCGGCTTTTTTTTTTTTTCCTTCGGTGCCACACCTGAAAACTATTTAAGGCTATGGGCTCCCTTCTAACAGCAAAAGTAGCCCTAGGAAGTCAAACCTCTTAAGGACGGTCTCATAGCTACTGGAAGCACCCTGGACTACATTTCCCAGAGTTCCCAGGGACCCCGCACAGGCGCAGTTGGAAAACTACGCGTCCTTTCCCTTCCCCGAAACCCGCGGGTCACTCCGGTCCCGCCCCCTCCAGTCCCCTTTTCCTCCGGGTCTCGCAGTGCAGGGTGCAGCGACTCGGCTTGTGTGTGTCTGTCGCCGCGGGCCGGACTCATGGCCTCGCCGCTGCGATTCGACGGGCGGGTGGTACTGGTCACCGGCGCGGGGGGAGGTGAGCGCGCGAAGGCCGGGGCGGGGTTGGCGGGCGCCCGCCCAGCTCGCGCGCCCGGAGCCCCCCGTCCGACCGGGTAGGCGCGCGGCGGGCCGGGGGCCCGGCAACGGCTGCTCTCGGGGCGCCGACTGTGCGGCGGGGGGAGAGGTGGGCCTGGCCGGCGTGGAGCCCTGAGGCGCCTGGTCTCCTAGCGCCTGCAGCCCGCTTCCCGGTGGCAGCTTCCCCGGGGCCCGCGCCGCGCGAGCGAGGCCCGGGCGCAGGCTGCGGGGGCGGGCGGCGGGCGGCGGCGGCGGCGGCGGGACCGGAGAGTTGGCGCTCAGCTCCGTCGCCTCCGCTCTTGCCGGGCTCAGGCCTCTGTCAGGGCCTGGGGGCTGTGGGAAAGCAGTTGGCGGCAGGAGTCCGCTCGCCCGCTTGCCCGGAGGAGTGGAGATGGCCGCCTCTTGCTTTGGAAAGTCAGCCACGCAGGGTCCTCTCCGCCGGTCGGGGGGCTTTGAGCCCTTGAGAGGTTCCTCGGGGAGTGTCTGGTGAGAGTCTCCTCGTTGGAGGGCCTATGCTCTGTCCGGCCGAGCACTCTGCTCGCCTGGAGTCTCGGCTCCAGCTGCAAGCTGAAAGGCCCCCCCCAACCCCCCCCCCCCCCCGAGTCAGGCAGGTGCCAGGGTGGGAACGAGGCTCAGGCGGGGGTTAGGGTGGGACAGTGGGAACCGGCGAGCGGAGATATTGCTGCAGTGGGCCTGGGCTTCCTGGGTCTCAGGAGAAGCAAACTGGAGATTTGTTAGGTGAAAAAAACCCTGTTCTTGAAAAAGAAAAAAATGAAAGCCGCTCATACCCATATTGATGCTCTGCAGTGCGGTTTTGCACTACTTCCCACCAGTGGGTGACCTCCGCAACCGCCAGGGGTAGGGGGCTTGACTTTCCTTGCTTTTGATTCTGTCACCTCGTACATTTATATCTTTACATCTCCATCGATAGAATGGATTCTCATGCTACCTTTCAGCAGGTACTTTTAGTATTAATTGGTGGCCAGGTATTTTATACTTACAGCTGTAGTCATCCTGAAATGATCATATATTTTTGGGAATTTTTTTTTTTTTTTTTTTTTTTTTAACTAGGCTCCATGCCCAGGTTGGAGCCCAATGCAGGGCTTAAAGTGATGGCCTTGATATTGAGACCTGAGCTGAGATCCAGAGTTGGTTGCTTAATCCACTGAGCCACCCAGACACCACCCCTGGAAAACATTTTGTTGACACTTGGCTTTTGATAGAAATAATTAAGTGATGCCCTCAGTGCTTTAAGCCTGTTTTGCCAGTGAGTGATTCAGTGTGGAATATATTTTGCACCATGACCCAGGACACACATACAGCAACTATATTTGAGACAAGTTCATGACACAGTACCTAGTAAATGAAGTGTGCTCTAAAATTTTGTTTCATTAAGTAAATGCACTTTGCAGCCTCCTCAGTTGATTCTGTGAATCATTAATGAGTTATGAGTAGACAGTTAGGGACTTAGTACCTCCCATTTAGAGAGCCCTGCAAAACTTTCCCGCGCCTGGGTTATGATACAGTCACTAGCTGTTGTCGATCTGAGGGAGAAATATAGTTTTGTAGTGAAGTTGAACCAATCCTAGGTCATCATTGAGAAGGGGAGTTAGAGATCAAATAGGATTCCTATCATGGATACTATTGTCCTTCAGGTCTTGGGTTTCTTTTCTTTTTTATTATTTATTTATTTATTTATTTATTTTCTTTTTTATTATTTATTTATTTATTTATTCATTCATTCATTCATTCATTCATTCATTTAAGACATAGAGAGGCAGAGACACAGCAGGAGGGAGAAGCAGGCTCCATGCTGGGAGCCTGACCTGGGACTTGATCCCGGGACTCCAGGATCACGCCCTGGGCCAAAGGCAGGCGCTAAACCACTGAGCCACCCAGGGATCCTCTGGTCTTGGGTTTCTTATTTAGAGATCCATACACACAGAACTGAGGCGTGCTGAACATCCCAGAAGAGTGTCCATGAATGCCTGCTGGGCCTGTGTCTGCGAATGAGTCTGACTCCAAACCACTCCTATTCTACAGATAAAGAGAAATATATATGCACTATTCAGGTCCTGTTGTGCAGCTTGAAATATAGATTAGTTTAATGGAAGACCTGGAAGGACAGTTACAGAATTGTCCAGGCCTTATGTAAACAATTTTGCCATGACTGGTGGTGTAACGGTATAATAGCTGTTTATTGATTAGCTGACAGAAGGGGTTGTTGGGGACAAGACGTTAGAGTGGAAGATCTGGGCTGTGGAAGAAGGAAGGAAGTCCAGCCATTTTGAATTTCAGATGGTTATGAGACGTAGATTGTGAAGTCACGGGAGAAATGTTGAAGTCATTTGAATTCCTTCGGTTGGTAAAGCTAAGCAAGGGAAATAGCCTCAGAGGCTATCCTCAGGGGCATTGTTGTTGACCCAGTGAGGAGTGTAAACCACCAATGAGAACCTTGAACAAGCAGTCTGAGTTATGAATCAACGGAGATTTGACAGTGCTAAAGAAATTACAGTCAAATAAAAAGAGAGAAATGGAAGAGAAAGGGTGATGGGCAGTGAATTTAGATGTGGGTGAGAATTGAGACATGAGTTAAGAGATTATGACAAAACGGAGGCTCTTGAATTTGACTTTTTGTGCATCTTGACTGTAAAGCTGTGCTGGGCATTGTGGGAAATGCAGAAGAGTGACGTTTTCAATCTCAGCCATGGAGGACCTTCTTGTTTAGTTGGGGAGGCAGACTAATGGATGTAAACTATTTGAATAATGTTTATATAAACACATATTAAAACATGTAAGGACCTTTTCCAATCTGCTAATAAGCTAGTGGTGTTGGAGGGAAAAGAAAGGAGACTGTCACTTTTTGTTTGTTGACTTGTGGATAGTTTATATGGGTCTTTATGATAGAGGAACACCACTTATATTATCTTTTAAGAGAATTGTATAACTTGATTTTAAGTTGAGACAATTCTCAGATTTAAGTTAGGTCTCTCTCTACCAGAGACCCACCCCATTCCTTTCATCTGATGATTTTTTACTTTACCATTAATTTTGTGTTCCAGTCTTCTGGTCATATGCATTTGATTTCTTTAAAAACACAGTGTCAGAACAAGTGCTTCAGCCTTGATCTGATAAAATATGAGAAGACCTGAGTTATTTGTATTGGCTGAAGTCTCTTATCCATTCATAGTGAATTAACTTGTAAAATAAATTATTTGGTGATCTTTTTTTAGTTTTGGAAAAACTTTCTATTTTGGATTCTTTTTAGAAGAGCCTGATATTGGGACGCCTGGGTGGCTCAGTGTCTGCCTTTGGCTCAGGGTGTGATCCTGGAGTCCCAGGGGATCTGGCCCCACTGTTGGGCTCCCTGCAGGGAGACTGCTTCTCCCTCTGCCTGTGTTTCTGCCTCTCTCTCTGTGTGTCTCTCGTGAATAAATAAATAAAATCTTAAAAACAAAAAAAAAAAAACAACAGAAAAGAAGAGCCTGGTACTTTAGCCATCTCAATTTGTTGTTTTTTGCTTCTTAATCAGCTTAAATTTAAACTACTAATTAAATCAAGTAATTTAAACAAAAAAATGTATACATGTTAAAACGATTTAAGTAATATAAACGTAGGCGTTGCACTCTTGGCTGCTCATCACATGGTTCTATTCCCCAGAGGCACCTCTAATTGCCAGTTTCTTATATATCGTTCCTGAGATATTCTATACCTCTAAAACTTACACAGGCATATATATACATCTTTGGATAACAAATTTACACCATGTGCCTTTGAGTCAGAATTAAATATTTTTTTGTGTTTGGTGATTCAAGGTTCAGTACAGGATACAGAAATCCCTAGATATTTGAAGCCAGAAGGGATTTAATATAGGTAGTTGGGGGGGCGGGTGCCTGGCTGGCTCAGTTGGTAGAGCATGTGACTCAACCTCAGTGTCCTAAGTCCAAGGGCATGGAGCCTGTTGGTAGAGCATGTGACTCAACCTCAGAGTCCTAAGTCCCATGTTGGGCATGGAGCCTGCTTAAAATAAATAAAAAATAAACAACCAGCCAGCCAGCCAGCCACCACAGGCAGTTGGGTCCTTGGCACTTTCTCTTGCAATGACTTTTCAAACAATCAGAACTGGTTGATTAGGGGAGCTGCTACCTCTGAGGATGCTGTTGGAACTGCTACAGCCACTGGATAAACCAAGGGCGTAGAGAATGGAAGCTGCCAGTTGGAGCTCTATCGAGAGGCAGCTAGATCAAGAAGTCGTCACTACATGCACTGTTTCTTAATACCTAGGAAGCTTCAAGGATCAGCTTCTAGGGACCCCTGGGTGGCTCAGCGGTTGAGCATCTGCCTTTGGCTCAGGGGATGATCCAGGGGTAGGGATGGAGTCCCATATGGGGCTCCTTGTGGGGAGCCTACTTCTCCCTCTGCTTGTGTCTCTGCCTCTCTCTGTGTATCTAATGACTAAAAAAAAAAAAAAAAATCTTAAAAAGAAATCAGCTTCTTACAAACAGCAGCAGCCAGAAGTCACAGTAACGCTAACTTTTGCTTCATTTCCACCTTCCAGATATGCAAATGCATTTAAAGGTGGAACACATTTCCTACCCTTCTACTTAGCTGCCAGGGGTAGGAAATGATAGGCAGGATAGGTGGAAAATACAGTTTTAAGCTTTCTGACCTCTGTAAGATAGAAAAAGGTGAGCTAGATGCGGAGAGTATCAGTGAAGACCTTATCATTGTGATATAGGTAATTTCTTGCCAGTTACTTTTATTTTAAAATAGGGGTTGATTTAAATGGACCCCACAAAATTGCTAATATTTGCTCAGCTTTCTGATTATTATTTTTTTTTTATAGGACTGGGCCGAGCCTATGCCCTGGCATTTGCAGAAAGAGGTGCATCTGTTGTTGGTAAGTTGGTAAATTTTTCTTTTTGACGAGTAAATGGAATATAAAGTACAATTGTCACAAGTCAGCCACCATCACATAATTTGTCAAGGTCAAGTTTCATCACTAATTATTTCTTCTGCCAGCAAAAATTTTTCTTGAGGCTGTCTCTCTAACTTCCTTTTTGTTTTTGTTTTTTTTTTCTAACTTCCTTTTTGAAGTAGACTAGTTTCACAGAATTTGCAGCTGAACAGAATTGATAAAGATGGTCAGGCATTCATTGTATAACAGGAAATTCTTGAATTTGGTAAACTGTGAGCTGTAATTTTTTGAGATGGAAGGCTGGTGCAAGATGAATCCCTGCAAGTAAAATATATTGATAAGAATAAGAAGTGCATTTTGAGGACTAGAAGTTTGGAGTCAGAAAATCCAAAGTATGTTTGTTTGTTTTTAATCTCATCAAATTTTTTCATTTGGAAGCTTCTTACAACAGATATTTAAAGTGTTAATTGAAGGGGCAGTTGCGTGGATTTTATTATGGATCATCAGTTGGAAGATGCTATATTGAGGGATCACAAGGTGGGATGTTTTAGTAATTTAAATGTTTTGACCTGGCATGATGTGGTGTGTCCACAAGAGTGGATCTTTCTGCAGCCAAGCCTTTGTGGGCAATAAATGAATTAGTGCTAAGTGCAGGGTAGGTAGGTAAGGCAGATGATATGGCCAATATTTATTAGTCTCTTTTTTGGAGTAAAATTGTTGGCTTATAATGACTTCCTAATGACAGTTTTTTTTGCCTCTTACTAAGGAATGCAGAGAGACAAATTTGTTTATGGAGACATGCATAACAACCAGGTAAGCAGGCAACCTGGTTTTCTAGAGAAGACCCAAGCAGCCATTTAATTATACTCTTCTCCTTCCATGGGAATATATAGCTTATCTCTATGGAAGGGACACAGAATCTTTGGATGTTCCTTGCCTAAAGACATATCCACTGTCTACTAATCCAGTCTGCTTCTTGTGGCAAGCACAGATTTTGACATTGTGCTATTTAGCCAGAGGGTGTATAGTTCAGGCCCTGGCTGCCAGATTTTCGCAAGATAGTTCATGTCAGACCAAAGACCCGTGTTGTTACTGTTTTTTTTTTTTCCTCTTTTTTTTCTGTTGCTGTTTTGTAATATTTTTACCTTATACATTTTTATTTATTTACATTTTTTCCTGCTCAATTCTGTAAGTGCAAGGACCCTATTTTATCTTCTGTATCTCCTGAAGGATCTAGAATATATCCTTGTGCAAAGAGGTACTTTGTTCATTGGATCTTTTTTGTTGTTTGACATAGACTCTTCTTGGAGTTGGTGGGGGAGGGACAGGTGTGTCTTTGAGATGGGTTGAATAAATTCCTATTTCTGGTTGTGATTAAGATGTGATCTTAGTTTATAAACTTACTTTGTAAAGCCATGTGTGTTTGTGTGGATCAGTTTTCCTATCTTCATCTCTTACCACTGAATTTATTAAATTCACAATAGAAGTTTTTGAGTTCTAACAAAAAGATAGACAGAGGTACGGCGTGTCTGTTTATTGTATCATTGCCGTAGAAGTGGGATTGCAGCAAGTGCCGGTGAAGTCCAGCAAGGCAGAAGGATTTGTATCTTGGAAAATTATTTTGTCATACTTGGCTGAAGAGCCAGATTTAGTTTGGTTTAGGGAAAAGTCAACCTCTGTGAAATTGCTTAGCTTTTGACTGATGTTTTTCTATTGCTGTTTATTCTGTGACCTGTTAACTTTGTAGACCAACAGTGAGTTGTGTTCCTTCCCTAACCACTGCTACCCTTTATTCTAGCTTTTTAAAACTAGATACCCTGCTTCCAGCTTACATCACACCACACTACTATTTCTCCTTTGTTCATTTTTGTTCTGCCCACCATAGTTTTTACATGAGTAAGAAAAAGGAGAGGAACAAATAAACCTGGGATGGTATGACATCACAGTATCTGGTCTATGAAAAAGTGACTCCTCAGATAATTTTATGAGTAGCTCAGAGTTCAGGAAGAAGTAGGGCCAAAGGTGTAGGGTAGCTTTTGTGACCTTTGAGCTTGTGGCCAGCAGTGTTTCTGCTCTAAGTGTCTTCCTAATTTCAGGATCCCAGCTAAAGGAGCAACATCTGTCTGGGTCATTGCTGTGGGGGAATACCAGTGGATCCACTTGATGGCTCCTAAATCTGTCCTGTGCTAGCGTGCCACTTCCATTCACATTTCATTGGCCAGAGGAAATCACTTGGCCAGGCATCACAAAAGATGTTCTCTAGCTTCATGTTAATATGATTGCTGTGTCTACTGTTCCATAACATAAAGCATTATGGGTATAAGGGTATAAGAACTGCTCAGCCTTTTCTCAACGGGTGAGCCATAGGCCAGTCTCTGATTTTTAAGTTTTCTCTTGAGGCATGGTAAGAAGACTCAAGTAGTCCAGCAAGAAGAACCTCTTTTTTGATGGTCAGAAAGGCAGAAGATTTTCAATTCTTGAACTGGAGAAGTAGTACCTTTGGGTCATTGAAGCCGTGACCCTTTAAGGGGGGCATAATTTCTTTTCCATGCTGCAGTTTTACAGTGGCTGGTAAAAATGACTCTTAGGCTCCTGTGTTCTGATGCCAGAGCCCATATTTCCAACCCCTGTGTGATCCTCATAGCCGGAAGGGGAACCCTGGTGGGAAAAATGCACTGGCTTCGAAGTTAGGTTGTGCTTGGAATCCTGGCTGTGCTGCCTCATCACGTGACCTCTGGCACTATTAGAAGCCACCTTTATCAAACTTCGAGCGTCATGGTGGGGATTAAGTGACCTCAAAAATTAAAGGCCTTTTTTTAAAAAACATTTTTAAAGATTTTATTTATTTGAGAGAGTATGGGAGTGGGGAGGGGTGGGCAGAGAGGGAGAAGCAGACTCCCCACTGAGCAGGGAGCCCCATGTAGGGCTCAATCCCAGGACCCTGGGATCATGACCTGAGCCTAGGGCAGATGCTCAACTGACTGAGCCACTCAGGCATCCCCCAAATTAAAGACCTTTGTAAAGGGAAAGGAATGGAGCCAATAGTAGAGACTGCCTGCCATGTGCTAGGTATTGTGCTGAGGACCTGGAGGTGTCAAAGCCTGAGGTTTTTCTCACTCAAGGGCATCCCAGCCTCCTTATATAAAACGTGTTTCTTTTCTAGATTCTCAAAGGAAAGGGCCTGCCTTAGGCACTGATGTATTTTCTCAAGTGTAAGCCAAGTGCTTAGTGATCAGTCAAGCAAGACATACATATTGAAACTGGTGTAGTCTTTCTGGAGAACAGTAAGGTGGTTCCTCACAAAGCTAAAAATAGAACTATCCTATGATCCAGCAATTGCATTAGTAGGTATTTACCCAAAGAATATAAAAATACACATTTGAAGGAGTACATGGACCCCAGTGTTTATAGCAGCATTATCAACAATAGCCAAAGTGGAAACAGCCCATTGAGTGATGAGTGATAAATGGATAAAAAGGTTTCTCTCTCGGGCAGCCCCAGTGGTGCAGTGGTTTGGAGCAGTGGTTTAGTGCCGCCTGCAGCCTGGGGCATGATCCTGGGGACTGGGGATCGAGTCCCGCGTCGGGCTCCCTGTGTGGAGCCCACTTCTCCCTCTGCCTGTGTTGTGTCTCTGCCTTCTCTCTCTCTCTCTCTCTCTCTCTCTCTGTGAGCCTCTATGAATGAATAAATAAAAAATCTTAAAAAAAAAAGTTTCTCACACACACATGCACATAGAATGGAATACTACTCAGCCATTCATTCATTCATTCATTCATTCAAAAAGAATGAAATCTCGCCATTAGCAGTGATATGGATGGAGCTAGAGTGTATTATGCTAAGTGAAGTAAGTCAATCAGAGGAAGACAAATACCATATGGTTTCATTCATGTAGAATTTAAGAAACAAAATTGATGACATGGGAGAGGAAAAAAGGAAATCATGGAGACTGTTAATGATAGAGAACAAAGTGAAGGTAGATGGAAGGAGACGGGTTGGGGATGGGTTAGATGGGTGATGGGCATTAAGCAGCACACTTGTGATGAGTACTGGGTGTTGTATGTAAATGATGAACCACTGAACTCTACTCCTGAAGCCAACATTGAACTGTACATCAACTACCTAGAATTTAGGTAAAATAAGTAAGTAAATAAATAAAGGGGAAAAAAAGACATATGTGCTGCTTAAGCAAATAAGTTATATGAATGAAAGCACATGTGGATTCCAGCTTATAATAATAAATGAGCTATATGTACAATGCCCACATCTTCCCCAGATACTTCCTATTAGTATTGCTAACGCAGATTTTAGGGGACAGCCTTTAAAGATAGCTAGAGAATAGCTCTAGCCATTTAGCATTTTAAAATGATATAAAACCTAAAAATAATTCATACAGGTAATAGACAGCATTGAATGGACTCAGTTATTCATCCAACAGTTATTTATTGGGTGCTTGTCATGTAGCAAACATTTTTCTAGCAGCTGAGGGAGTGGAGTGGGAAATAAAACAAATGGGGTCCCTGTTTTCACAGAGCTTACCTTCTAGTGGAGGGTGGTGGGGAAACAATAAATAGATATGTAAAAATATATCCAATAAAACAATCAGAATGAATGGGCTGGAAGAGAACTCCAAGGAAGGACCTGTAGGCAGGGCAGGATTATGCCCTGAAAAGGTCTGAGGCCCAGGAATGGTGACAGGGGGCACAGCTAGCTATGCCTCAGTCTTGAGGCAGGAGGAGGCTCAGGTGTTCAGGGTCAGCAAGAGGGTCCCTGCAGCTGGAGCAAGGTCATCAACCGGAACAAAACTGAGAGGAGAGCAGAGGTCACAGAAGGCCAGGTTGCGTAAGATTGTTCATTCTGAGTCAGGCCTGGCTTCTACTCTGATGGAAATGGGAAGCCATTTTTGAGTAAACAGAGGAGCAGCATAACCTGATTTAAGTTTTAAATGGATGGTTCTGATTGCTATGTAGAGAATGATTGTGAGGAAGCAAGAGTGGAAGTGGAGATGGATGAAGAGGTCATTGGGCCTTTTATACTATTAACTCTTCTTGTACACCCTTGGGATTTTTCCATTTAGAAAGAGAAGTGGAAGCAGAGAGTCTTGTCAAGATGTTAACAATAATCCACATAAGAGATGGTGGTGATTTAACTAGGTCATGGGGTGAAGGTGGTGCAGAGGTTAAACTCTAGGTATATTTTGAAGGTAGATATGGCAGGATTTGCTGATATAGGTTGCAAGGGAAGGAGGAAGATAGTCCATTTACTGAGACAGGAAAGACCACAGGAGGGCCAAATCGTTGGCGAGATGTTCCTGCTAGACTTTCAGATGGAGATACTAAGTAGGAAGTGGGGTACAAGAAAGACTCTGTATTTGGGGGACAGGTTGGAACTATATAAATCTGAATCTTCTCAGTTTTATAGGTGGTATTTGAAGCCAGGAGACTGGATCAGATTACCTGAGTCATGAGTATAGATGAGCAGGAGAAGAGGTCCAAGGACTGAACTCTAGATGACCAGTTTCTTATTTTCATTTTTTTCTCTCAGTGAAGATACCTTTGATGCCATCTTGTTGTTTAGACAAGGAAAATCAGGGACAGGAACCTAATTTAAGACACTGCTGTCTAAATTGCCACTGCATTTTGTGGTCCTTCAAATATTTAGATACATTTATGGCCACTCTGGAGAAGATTGCTGATGACTAGGGTGATTGTATCTTTCAACCCAATGTTGAAGACAGTAATGGCAACTCTGTGTTGTTCCCTTTTTGTTTAGTGGAAAAACTTACGTTCTTTTTAGGATACAAGAAACTTGTTAACAGCATTAGAGGAACAGAGTAGCATTGCGGTGGGTTCGGGTTCTAGTCTAGATTTTGCTGTTTCAGACAGCCTTGGGAGCCTGGGGCAAGTTACCTAACCCTTCCTGACTTTCTTCATCTACGAAACTAGGAACAGGTGTTCCTGCCAATTTTTAAAAAATCTCTGTGGGGATCAAAGGCTGCAATGTACCCAATAGTTCTTTGAAAATGAGAAGTATGGCACATACCAATATAAGCTACTAATGATATGTTTAAAATTTATTTATTATTATTACTCCTTACAATTTTAGCCATACATTTAATGGTAACAGTGTCACATAGTATGAATATATTTTTCTTTGTGTTTAATTGCAGAAGTCTTTTAACATTGTTGCTCTCCCAGGCTTTGACCATGTAACCAGAAAAGTGTTCTAGTTCAGGTGATAAGCCTGTGATTTAGGTCTGATGACAGTGGCATGATGGTTTAGTACATTCTAATGTATAGACTTCAATAAATCTGTTTTGCTGTTTAGCTGTATGGCACTGATCTCAATAAATTATTATTATTATTTTTTCAATAAATTATTCTGGCTTCATTGCTTACCTGTTTGGTTGCACTTTGAACAATTTCCACTTGAGGGTAGTGTTCTGTTGCACAATAGAGCAATTCTTTATTAAAAGTGCCATTGGCCAATTTGCTTTTGAACTTTCCCTTACTTAGTTAAAAAGGCTCTTAAAAGACTGTGATCTGCATGTCTTAAACTCCTGATGTTTTTTACTGGTTGTTTCTTGTCATTTGAGTAATTGCATGGAAATTAACGATTAATAGGAATTCAGTCTTGAGAATCTTTTTTCATTTCTTGAGGGATAATGTCAGCCTCTTTCCATTACTTTGTATCTTCATACTAGTTTTTATTTGCAGTAAGACAATAAGACTACATTGTTTGAAAAATATATTCCAGTCCACATTTCGAGAAACCCTTTTTACTTAAAAAAGCTATATGAAAACACATTTCACTTAGCTGATTTTCATTGTGGTTAGGCATTGGCTTTTTCCCTGTCTCATTCTCTTATCTTTAACCACCCAACCCTATCCAGCCTTCACCCGAATCAAAAAAAAGGGTGCGGGAAGAGAGAGAAAGAGGGAGAGAGACGTTCTTTAAAAGAAAAAAAATCGTGTTTGTTTTTTTCCAGATGTGGCATCCATCCCTTTGGTAATATTAAAAGGCTCTCAATTTTAGTATGTAACACCTTGTCATTTATTAATTAGTAATTTTTTTATTGTCGTTCCTCAAAATTTATGTAATAACTCCCCAGATGTTCATTTTGCAATGTAAATTGTTTCTTTGTCTCAAGTGTTTTTATTAATTTGGTTTTTTTCAGGTTATTTGTTATTGATCTATGTATCTTCTCATTAGTTTTTGCATGTTATTTTGTAAATTTTACCTTCAGTTGTGACATACACTAACTTTATTATTTGTCCCCATGTTCTGTTGGCTTTTTATATACTTGTTGTTACATCCATGGATTATTGTAGCCATCCCATACTTAACTTTGAGTAGATGAGAAAAGGTCTTTGAGGACAGGTGCCATCTTCCTACGTAGATTTTCTTGCAAATAGTAAATGCTCGATTCAGGTTTGTATCTGTGTAATGGAATACTGTGAGATGTGTGGTAAGTATGGTTCGTTGTTAAAACATCTAACAGTGGAGTCATGGTATCAATTAGCGGCTGAACACATGAGTTCTGTATGTAGTTTCTGATCTCTTATAACAGATAAGTTTTATTACTTTTATTGTAGACCCTGATACACTAGGCTTTATGAATATTTTTCTTCCTTTGACTGAAAGTGGGTCGAATCATGTTCTTTTTCTTTTCAAAAAGGAAAAGCATTGCAAAGTTAATCTCATGACCTGAATCTGTGTTTCAGTATATTTGTTGCTTCATCTCTCACTCTAAACAAAGAGGCAGGTTTGAAGGTATCTGTCTTCTGGCATGTTTCATAAGACGGGTACAGCGTAGGAAGGAATTGAGATAACAGAATACAGTCACAATGGGCTTTTATTTCCAATTTGTATTTTGAGGCTTAGAAATGAGTTCTTGTTTGTTTTTGCATTGCAGTGAATGATTTAGGAGGAGACTTAAAGGGATTGAGTAAAGGCTCCGTTGCAGCTGCCGATAAGGTTGTTGAAGAAATACGAAGTAAAGGCGGAAAAGCTGTGGCCAACTACGGTATGATATTTGAAAGAGCTATACTGTTTCTTCCATTTTCCTTCAACTACTGCTGTCGCTCGCTATCGCTCACGTTAGTGATCATTGAGCAAATGTCTCAGCGTTCCAGTGTATGAGATTAGATTTTCACTGGGTCAGCCCAATCTGTTTGGCTATTTTATATAATATATGAGGTTTTTAAGAACTTTTGATATAGATCATTTCACAAGTCTTAACTTTCAGCCTGTTTACTTAACATTTTATTAATAAAATCAGTAAATTATTTTATGATAAAATCAGTAAATTTTTAATGATTATTAATGATGTGACTATGAATATGCTCTTGTTCTTGAAAAACCCATTTTAGCTAAAAGGTTTTAGGTATTTCTACAGAATAACATTAGATTCTTCTTTTAAAAAATAGTTGTAGAGAAATCCTTGAAGTAATAGAATGTAGGAAGTAAAATGCCCTTTTGTATCCAACCACTGCGTTCCCTTTTGCACAAGTAATCATTGTTGTATGTAACTTTCTTACCTTTGTAAAAACCTAAGAATCAAAGTTAGGCATTAAAAAGTAAAGCCACAAGGAAAACAGCATTTGATATATTGATTCTAATAGTATCTGTAAGGAACCTTCTCAAATAGATCCACTTTAAAAAGTAAGTGCTTACTGACTTTTCTGCAAATTAGATTGTTTTTATTAGCCAGTGGTAAAATTAGATTGCCAGTCACTTGATCTTGACATTTTAAAGGAAAGGAAATAGGATATGATTTGTTTTGAGGTTCTAGGGAATAATGAGACAGATACTTTAGTATCTTCTTACTGAAGAGCTACAAAAAATATTTTAAACTTTTTTTTAAAAATTCTGGAGTTAAATTTATTTTGTAATGATAATAATTCCAGACTCTCCCCCTTCCTATCCCCCCAGTTTTGATATGCAATCCGTATCAATCAATCCAGATGCAGTTAGGAAAACCTCCTGTAGGTTTCCTTTTTTTTTTTTTTTTTTTAAGATCTTATTTATTTAGTTTTGAGAGAGGGAGAGAGCACTTGAGTATGTGTGGGTGTGCTCATGAGGGGTGAGGTGAGGGGCAAAGGGAGAGGCAGATTCCCCGCTGAGCAGGGAGCCTGATGTGGGGACTCTCTCCCAGGCCCTGGGATCATGACCTGAGCCTAAGGCAGATGCTTAACCAAAGGCAGATATCAACTGAACCACTCAGGTACCCCTCCCTGTAGGTTTCCAAGTGTGAAGGGTTTTGATACAAAGAATTAAAGGCTTGCATAACCATTAGAGGGGCTGAGCAGGTTCATGTCAAGGAATCTGAATGACTGGGTCAGCCTGCAGCAGGCAGTTGCCACGGCTTACCTGGATATGCCAGCTCTCTTTCATCGGCACTCTGCTCCTAAGATTTGCCTGCACCTGCAGGCTTCTCCTCCTCTGTTCTTTAGATGGGTGTCTATTTTTGGCAGATCTATCTCAGGACTTTATGGATCTCAAGGAAGGGAATATGTTTCCTGGCTCCTCCCCACTGATTGTACAGAACAGAGAGAGGCAGTGGGATGTTGATACCTGACCCTTTGACACACAACTCTGGGGATATGAGCCCTTCCCCTGGGCTGATGAGTAGAAGATAAGAAAGCCACTCTGTTTTGTGGAGCTTTACTTTTTGTACTTAGTATTGTACAAACAGTAGGTTTATTTCCGTATGTAGTTACATAGCATTGAACTTGCTTTTTCAAATTAAACATGTACCCCCTTTCCTTCCTTGTAAATTCTGATTAGCATCTTTAAAGGGAAATGCTAATGTGAATATAAAATTAAATACAAATTAAACAAAATTAAATACTCGGTTTGTCTGTCATACTACTCACATCTCAAGAGCTCAGTGGACACTCGTGTATAGTGACTACTATATTATGATGGAAATAAGACATTTCCATCCTCACAGAAAGTTGTATTTTAGAGATAGTATTTGTCAAAATATTTTTTATTCCCCCCACCCCCTTTTTTTAAGTTAAAGAATTGTTTTAGGGGCTGCATTTCCTTTGTAACATTAAATCATCTATATTTTGATTTGTTATGTGCCTGCAATATAAATTTATTTTTGTGGAAATCTGTTGAGTGAATAGTATCTGTCATGTACTGTGCTCCACAGAGTTTAGAAGTTATTTGTGAGGGATATTACTGATGTTTCATACTAATTTTCCATTCCTCCAGATTCAGTGGAAGCAGGAGAGAAGATTGTACGGACAGCACTAGAAGCTTTTGGAAGAATAGGTGATGTTTCTTTGTGTTTATGGCACTAACAGAGGAGCTCCTACCTTCCTAATAAAGTGTTTTTGATTTTATTTTTGTTTATAAAAAATTCCTTTTTTCTTTATAAGCAAGTTTTTCTTTATTCATTTTACATAGCCAAGTTTTTTGATTTAGTTTTTTTGATTTTGCAAACTAATTTTTTTTACATTCCCTACCTCATTCCATAAAAGGCTTGAGGTGGCATTTTTTATGCAAAAGTATGTTGAGTTTGTTTTACGTTTTTTTGGTCTTAAAAACTTTAAGAAAGTTATAAGCATTTTCTAAGTTTCTTATACGTGATAATTGAATTATGCCCCAAATATGTTTATAAAATAAATATTTTGGCAATAGAGGACCCCATGGAATCTTTTAGATAATTATGATTTAGATCATAAGGATTCAGTATCTTGTGAATTAGTTAATAATTAATTAATTAGTTATTTTATAAATTAAAATAAAAATCTTTAGTTTTGAGAAGGATTTCAAATGTGTTGTTTAGTTTATTCCTCTCTAGATAATCTTTCTGGTTTAGTTCTACATGTTCTTAGTAAAAGATTATTGAGCTACTACAGGGAAACATTCCTGCAGAGAAGCCCAACATGTTTACATTCTGGAAAACATTAATTTTTATAATTTGAATGTGCTCTCCTCCCCTTTTTTTTGTCTAATAGATTTGTTTTTCTGGTCATGCTGTGTTGAGCTTATAAAGGACTTGTTCATTTGACAGAGGGATAAAGGTCACAAAAATACGAAGTTACAGGGTAAAAACAGCCACAAGATAATGGTTGAACCTTAAAAAAAATTCTGTTTTGTTTTTTTTTTAATAGTAAGAATACAGTTATGTATTAAGAAAGGCCATCAGTTTCTAAAAATAGTTTCCTTCCTGGAATTTTGATGCTTGAGTGGCAAAGAAAAATCTTTTAAACTTATAACTTTCTGAGTGAATTCTGAGGTTAAATGAGGTGTGGCTTATGGTTACCAGTGAAAGCTAAGAACCTAAGAGTTGAGCAACAGCTGATTATATAAAAAGAATTTTGGCAGAAGGTGGAGGTGGAAACATTTACATATGTAAGTTTGAGAGGAAAGCCCTGACATGATGAGAAACTTGTGAATCAGAGGGTTTTTTTTGTTGTTGTTTGCTTTTGTTTTTTTTTTTTTCTCTGATAGCAAAAATTTTATAAAATTTTGTTCTGATAGCACTCTTTTGCTATTATTATTTACTTTTCCATGAGGGAGAAAAAGCCTAATTTTGAAAGAAATATGAGTTGTAAGCCAATGCAAATTAATATACTTGCTTTTATGTTTGTGACTTGAATTTTTTTATATTGTAGATGTTGTGGTCAACAATGCTGGGTGAGTATCTCTTTTTTTCATTTTGGGTAAAATAATGTGCATGCTAAGTTTTTGGTGAGTTTTTTAAGTGGATACTCCTTCCCTGTCTAACCTGTATAATACTGTTTTTAGAATTCTGAGGGACAGTTCTTTTGGTAGAATAAGCGATGAAGATTGGGGTAAGTTGTTTGTAACATATGTCTCTGTGGAGCCTAACTATTCCTTTAGCCTTTTAATATTTGAGAAATTTGTACATTTAAGGAAAAACTTACTTCTACTTACTTTTGCTTCTGTTAATGTAGATGATGAGCATGATGAATACTAAGCTTTACAACTGAAAATGACAACAGTTGGAAGTAGCCTATTTTCTTTTAACATTTTATAAATGAAAAAATTTTAAGCCATTTGGCAGAAATTACCTGAAAGGATTTTGTGTCTTTCAGTTCTTTTCTACCTTTTTTCTTCTTGAGAAGTTGTTAGCATTTTCTAGCCATATTAACTCTTTCTAACAGTCTTCAACCTGCTTAGTTCCCTGTGCATTCTTATTTCAAGAGCAAGATCAGGATATGGAAGGGAGTCTGGGGCACTGAAAATGTTGGAGATCTGAGAACTGGGTGGGAATACCTTAGATGTTTCTCCTGTGTAGGGGAAAATCCCATTAGGAATGCCACATTGGAAAGATTGAGTTTTGATAACGAGCAAATCACTTTTTTTTGGTTTGTTTGCTCTTTATGCCTTTACTTTCATGGCCATCAGAACTATAACAAACAATGGTGGCTGGGAGTGTGGGAGGCATGGGAGCTGAGGTGAGTTACGTCACTGTGGATGGAGTGATGGAGTGTGCTTCTAGGATGTACTGCCAGAAGTTCTTTGGGAAGAAGCAAAGCATCTTTGTGATTTGTTATTAAAGGGCTCTTAATTTCCTCTTTTTGCTTTAACAACTGGGGTAGAAAGAAGTGGAGAAAGAAAGGATTTGCTGGCAAAGTAGGATTATGTTATTGACCCTCTTTCAGCTCTGGTGAGGCTGGGTCGTTTCCACTCCTGGCTCACCACTCCTAACCACCTGGCTACCTTTACCTTTTTTTAGTTTTTCTTTTTAAGTTCGTTTTTTCACTTTTGTATTCTTCTAATAGACCCATGAAAACATTTGTTGAGGTTCTAGCCTGAAACAAAGATTAATAACAGTGATAATTAAAATTAAATCTAGAGTTATTTATCTATCTGAGTCATTTCCCAGGTTGTCTGTTCATCTCTTTAAAAACAAATGGGACCCACCCCCCAATCTTCCCCCCCTCCACCCACCCCCCGCCATCCCTCCCTCCCTTCCTCTCCCCCTGCCTTGATTCCTCCCTCTCTCCCTCTATTTTCTGATCCTCCTCTGCCCCATCTCATTTGCAATTTACCCTGGTAAAAATAGGGATATAGGGACATAGTGAGCAACTGGCGAACATTTCTTGACAGTGAACTGTGTAGGTCATGATTGGTTTTTTTAGAAATTTTATTTTATTTTATTTTATTTTTTTTAATTTATGATAGTCACAGAGAGAGAGAGAGAGAGGGGCAGAGACACAGGCAGAGGGAGAAGCAGGCTCCATGCACCGGGAGCCTGACGTGGGATCCGATCCCGGGTCTCCAGGATCGCGCCCTGGGCCAAAGGCAGGGGCCAAACCGCTGCGCCACCCAGGGATCCCCTAGAAATTTTATTTGTTTCATTAAAAAAACTTTCATTATTGAAGAATGGTTGACATACAATATTATATTATTTTCAAGTGCACAACATAGTGATTCAACAATTGTATACATTACACTTTTTTTTTTTTTTTTTACATTACACTTTAACTAATGTTTGTGTTCAGTCCCAATTGTATGTATAAAATTTTCGGATGTTTGTATTAGTGGACTCTTTTTTATAAATTAGACATAAATATAGCGTTGTATTTAGATGTGTAGAGGTATTACAATAATTTTATCGCAAATTATAAGGAGAATGGGTATGGACTATTGATTGGTTACATAATTGGGACAAAAGCAAAAATGGTTACTCAGAGAGCAGCAATATGACAGTAGTTGATTTTGAATGCTCAATATAAAGTGAACATCTTTGTATAAATAAATTATATTGTATAAATAAATCATTTATACAAAATATTGTATAAATAAATCATTTCTTATATAGATTTTGCCTCTCTAATTTTTGACAAAATATATAATCAAAATAATTTATTGTTTTAGATATAATCCACAGAGTCCATTTGCGAGGCTCATTCCAAGTGACCCGGGCAGCTTGGGATCATATGAAGAAACAAAAGTTTGGAAGGTAGAGTTGTGTGTGGCTGTCGGGGATGGGGGGCGGGGCATTGGACTTGCTGTGTGTGGGCCCTTGTGTGCAGGGAAAGATAAGTGCTCTGATTTGAGGAAGATCTCTTCACACACATGCACAGGCTTTTAATGAACTCTTGGCATGAACTGAACCCTCTTATTACTTTGGTGTCATTTAGTCACAGATTAGCTGAGCTGGGCAACTTTATATTTTATAAATATAAATAAATATAATATAATAATATATATAATATAATATAATATAATATAATATAAATATATTTATATTTCTTTTCACCTCCTACTTTTCATTATGAATGGATTTCCTGGAGTTCTCTGATATTCTAGCAGTAGAGACTTTGAGGATTCAGCTGTACTTTTATTCTGTAATTGAAGTATCATTCTGTATCCACTGACCAGCTGAGGAGAGATGAACACTGTGTCCAGCTTGCTAGTACTGTCCAACATGAATTGGTCTTTATAAACTGTTTGGGAGCTGTAGGACTGTGGCTGTGTCTGTGTGAGTGACTTGGAATGGGGCAGAGCCAGGAGGGGGCTCCATGGACTCTGTCAGGGTCCTTCCTGTTAACCTTGGGTTCACACACATCTACTACCACTGAGTTGTTTGTGATACCTGTTCCTGTTGGAGAGTTCTAGTTTCTCCTCTCAAAGTTACTGAAAATAAATGATATGAATTGTTTTACTTGGTCTACTCAGTAGGGTGAGATGGGTCACATTTTGGAGATGGCATTGTTTGAATATGAGGGATTTAATATTATCCAGAAAGAGAGGGGCAAAGTAATGAGAACTAAAGAATTAGAACTAATTTTTCTGTTTCTTACGATAATTTTAACTTGTTGCCACTTTATTTCATGTTTATAAATATTTATTGTTGTTTTCTGTAGATAATGAACATACATTCCTGTATTTGAATATTTGATCCCAATCAGGGATTCCTTTTAAAATAGTTAAATCTTGTAGCTGAATTTTCTTTTTTTTAAAGATTCTATTTTTTCATGAGAGACACAGAGAGACAGAGACATAAGCAGAGAGAAGCAGGCTCCATGCAGGGAGCCCAATGCAGGACTCGATTCCAGGTCTCCAGGATCATGCCCTGGGCTGAAGGCAGACGCCCAACCACCAAGCCACCCAGGTGTCCCTTGTAGCTGAATTTTGAGAATTATTTTTATTATTATTTTGCATGTGTAAGTGATGACTGTAGGAACCTAATGACAGTATAACAGTCATTGCTTTTGACGGATGTAATACTATGGGAAAAGAATAAAAGGCTCAGAGTTGCAGTGTTATCAAAACATGGAAGAGAGATTTTGAGAGATTGATTTTCCTTTTAGGATTGTTATGACTTCGTCAGCTTCAGGAATATATGGAAACTTTGGCCAGGCCAGTTACAGTGCTGCAAAGCTGGGTCTTCTGGGCTTTTCAAATACCCTTGCAATTGAAGGCAAGACAAGCAACATTCATTGTAACACCATTGCTCCTACTGCTGGATCACGGATGACCCAAACCGTTATGGCTGAGGGTAAGTAGCTTAGATTTTTTAAATGCTCTGAGCCACAAATCTGCAGAATGAGCTCTGTAAAAGTATTTCATTTTCTGATGGCGAGTGATATTGAGCATTTTTTCATGTGTCTGTTGGCCATCTGTATGTTGTCTTTGGAAAAATGTGTGTTTATTTCTTCTGCCCATTTCTGGATTGGATTGTTTGTTTTTTGTGTGTTGAATTTGGTACGTTCTTTTTAGATTTTTGGATACAAGCCCATTGTCTGATATGTCATTTGCAAATATCTTCTTCCATTCTGTTGGTTGTCTTTGGTTTTGTTGACTATTTCCTTTGTTGTGTAAAAGCTTTCTATCCTGATGAATTCACAGTAGTTCATTTTTCCCTTTGTTTCCCTTACCTTTGGAGATGTGTCTAGTAAGAAGTTGCTGTGGTCATAAAGGTTGCTGCCTGTGTTCTCCTCTAGTATTTTGATGGATTCCTGTCTCACATTTAGGTTCTTTGTCCATTTTGAGTCTATTTTTGTGTATGGTATGAGGAAATGGTCCAGTTTCATTCTTCTGCACGTGGCTGTACAATTTTCCAACACTATTTGTTGAAAAGACATTTTTCCATTGGCTAGTTTTTCCTGCTTTGTTGAAGAGGATTTGGCCATGGAGTTGAGGGTCCATTTCTGGGTTCTCTATTCTGTTCCATTGATCTATGTGTCTGTTTTTATGCCAGTATCGTACTGTCTTGATGATTACAGCATTGTAATAGTACTTGAAATTCAGAATTATGATGCTACCAGCATTGGTTTTCTTTTTCAACATTCCTCTGGCTATTCGGGGTCTTTTCTGGTTCCATACAAATTTTAGGATTATTTATTCCACCTCTGTGAAATAAGTTGATGGTATTTTGATAGGAATTGCATTGAATATATAGACTCCTTTAGGTAGCATAGACATTTTAACAATATTTCTTCTTCCATTCATGGAAGAAGCATGGAACATTTTTCCCTTTCTTTGTGTCTTCTTCAATTTCTTTCATGAGTGTTCTGTAGTTTTCTGAGTTTCTGTAGTTTTCTGTAGTTCTGTAGTTCTATAGTTCTGTAGTTCTGTAGTTTTCTGTAGTTCTGTAGTTTTCTGTAGTTTTCTGATCCTTTACCTCTTTGGTATCTTCTGGTTTTGGGTGCATTTGTAAATGGGATGGACTCCTTAATTTCTCTTTCTTCAGTCTCATTGTTAGTGTATAGAAATGCAACTGACGTCCATGTATTGATTTTGTATCCTGCCACTCTGCTGAATTCCTGTATGACTTCTAGCAATTTTGAGGTGGAGTCTTCTGGGTTTTTCATGTACACTATCATGTCATCTACAAATAGTGAGAGTTTGACTTCTTTGTCAGTTCGGATGTCTTTTATTTCTTTTTGTCGTCTGATTGCTGAGGCTAGGACTTCTAGCACTATGTTGAATAGCAGTGGTGAGAGTGGACATCCCTGCTGTGCTACCCTGAGGAAAGGTTCTCAGGTTTTCCCCCATTGAGAATGATATTTGCTGTGGGCTTTTCATAGATGGCTTTTATGATATTAAAGTATGTTCTCTCTATCCCTACACTGTGAAGAGTTTTAATTAAGAAAGGATGCTATATTTTGTCAAATGTTTTTTTTTTGCATCTATTGAGAGGATAATATGGTTCTTGTCCTTTCTTTTATTTACGTAGTGTGTTGAACCACTCTTGCAGCTTAGTAATGAATGCCACTCGGTCATGGTGATAATCCTTTTGTATTGCTGGATCCTACTGGCTAGTATCTTGGTGAGAACTTTGGCATCTATGTTCATTCAGGCATATTGGTCTGTAATTCTCCTTTTTGGTGGAGTCTTTGTCTGGTTTTGGGATCAGGGTAATGTTGGCCTCATAGAACAGGTTTGGAAATTTTCCTTCTATTTCCGATTTCTTTGAAGCAACTTCAGAATAGGTAGTAATTCTTCTTTAAATGTTTGGTAGAATTCCCCTGGGAAGCCATCTGGCCCTGTACTGTTTTTTGTTGGTAAATTTTTGATGACTGCTTCAGTTTCTGTGCTGATTATATAGGTCTGTTCAGGTTTTCTATTTTTCCTGTTTCAGTTTTGATAGTTTATATGTCTCTAGGAATGCATCTATTTCTTCCAGATTGCCTAATTTGTTGGCATATAGTTGCCCATAATATGCTCTTAAAATTGTGTGTATTTCTTTAGTATTGATTGTGATCTTTCCTTTTTCATACATGATTATATTTATTTGGGTCCTTTCTTTTTCTTTTTGATAAGTCTGGCCAGGGGTTTATCAATCTTATTAATTTTTTCTTTTTTAAGATTTTATGAGACACAGAGAAAGAGAGAGGAGAGAGGCAGAGACACAGGCAGAGGGAGAAGCAGGCTCCATGCAGGGAGCCTGTTGCAGGACTCGATCCCAGGGCTCCAGGATCATGCCCTGAGCCAAAGGCAGGCGCTAAACCCTAAGCCACCCAGGATCCCCTTATTAATTCTTTCAAAGAACCAGTCCTTAGTTTTGTTAATCTGTTCTACTGGTTTTTTTTGGGTCTATTTCTTTGATTTCTGCTCTATTCTTTATTATTTCTTTTCTTCTGCTGGATTTAGGCTTTATTTGCTGTTTTTTTCTCCAGCTCCTTCAGGTATAAGGAGACCTTGTTTGAGACCTTTCTCATTTCTTCTTCTTCTTATATACTTCCCTCTTAGGACTGCCTTTGCTGCATCCCAGAGGTTTTGAATAGTTGTGCTTTCATTTTCATTTATTTCCATGAATTTGAAATTCTTTAATTTCCTTGACTCTTAAGTAGGATAGTAGGATGCTCTTTAGCCTGCATGTATTTGAGTTCTTTTCAAATTACCTCTTGTGGGGATCCCTGGGTGGCGCAGCGGTTTGGCGCCTGCCTTTGGCCCAGGGCGCGATCCTGGAGACCCGGGATCGAATCCCACGTCAGGCTCCCAGTGCATGGAGCCTGCTTCTCCCTCTGCCTATGTCTCTGCCTCTCTCTCTCTCTCTGACTATCATAAATAAATAAAAATTAAAAAAAAATTAAAAAAACAAAACAAAAACAAATTACCTCTTGTGATTGAGTTTCAGTTTCAAAGCATAGTGGTCTGAAAATATGCAGGGAATGATACCAGTTTTTTGGTACTGGTTGAGACCTGGTTTGTGACCCAGTATGTGATCTATTCCGGAGAATGTTTCATGTGCACTTGAGAAGAATGTGTATTCTGTTGGTTTAGTATGGAATGCTCTGAATGTTATCTGTGAAGTCCATCTGGTCCAGTGTGTCATTCAAAGCCCTTGTTTCCTTGTTAATCTGCTTATATGATCTGTCCATTACAGTGAGTGGGGTGTTAAAGCCCTCTACTATTATTGTATTATGGATGTATGTGTTTCTTTAATTTTGTTATTACTTTGTTTATATAATTGGCTGCTTCCAAGTTAGGGGTATAGATATTTATATAATTGTTAGATCTTCTTGTGGATGGACCCTTTAATTATGATATAGTATCCTTCCTCATCTCTTACTACAATGTTTGGCTTAAAATTTAATTTGTCTAATATATGGGTTGCCACCTGAGCTGTCTTTTGATGTCCATTAGCATGATAAATGGTTTTCTACCCCTCAGTTGATTTTTTTTTAAGATTTTATTTATTTATTCATGAGACAGTGAGAGAGAGAGAGAGAGAGAGAGAGAGAGAGAGAGAGAGAGAGAGAGAGGCACAGACACAGGCAGAGGGAGAAGAAGCAGGCATCACACATGGAGCCCAACATGGGACCTGATCTCGGGACTCCAGGATAACACCCTGGCCTGAAGGTGGTGCTAAACTGCTGAGCCACTCCGGCTGCTCAACCCCTTTAAAACTGGAGGTGTCTTTGTGTCTAAAATGAATTTCTTGCCCACTGCATATAGATGATTCTTGCTTTTTTATCCATTCTGATACTCTGTGTCTTTTGATTGGGATATTTAGCCCATTTACATTCAGAGTAACTATTGAAAGTTAGGAATTTAGTGCCATTTATTACTTGTACAGCCCTATTTCTGTATATTGTCTCTGTTCCTTTCTGATCTGTGTTACTTTTGGACTCTCTCTTTGCTTGAAGGATCCTGTATAATATTTCTTGTAGAGCTAGTTTGGTGATCACAAATACTTTTAGTTTCTGTTTGTCCTGGAAGCTTTTTATCTCTCCTTCTATTTTGAATGAGATCCTAGCTGGATAAAGTATTCTTGGCTGCATGTTTTTCTCATTTAGCACCCTGAATATATCATGCCAGTCCTTCCTGCCCTGCCAGGTCTCTTTGGATAGGTCTGCTGCCTCTCTGATGTTTCAACCTTCTTGGGTTGTGGATCTTTTGTCATGAGCTGCTCTCAGGATTTTTCTCTTTGTCTCTGAGATTTGCAAGTTTCACTGTTGCATGTTGGCGTGTTGATCTATTTTTACAGATTTCCAGGGGGGTCCTCTGTGCCTCCTGTTCTTGGATGCCTGTTTGCTTCCTCAGATTAAGGAAGGTCTCTGATATAATTCCCTCAATATATATTCTACGCCCCCCCCCCCTTTTCTCTTTCTCTGGGATCCCAGTTATTCTAATACTGTTTTGTGTTATGGTATCACTTATCTCTCAAATTTTCCCCTCATGATCCAATAGTTGTTTATTTGTCTTTTTCTCAGGTTCTTTATTCTCCATCATTTTGTCTTCTAGGTCACAAATTCTCTCTTCTGTGTCATTTCTCCTAGAAGTTAGAGCCTCCGTTTTTTATTACATCTTATTAATAGCCTTTTTGATTTCAACTTGATTAGACATTAGTTTTTTTTATTTTTCCAGAAAGGGATTCTCTAGTCTCTTCTGTGCTTTTTTCAAGCCCTGCTAGTATCTTTATAATTGTCATTCTGAACTTTAGTTACAACATCTTATTTATGTCCATACTGATTAGGTCCCTGACAGTCACTACTGCCTCTTGTTCTCTTTTTTAAAGTGTATTTTTTCATCTTGTCATTCCATCCAGAG